GTCCCTCGCCCACGCCCCCCCACGACCCATGTCGACCCTCGCCCACGCCCCCCGGACCCATGTGTCTCTGTTCACCTCCCCCCGCCCCAGACCCATGTGACCGTGCCAAGCTCCCCCCCTGCACCTGGACCCGTGTGTCCCTGCCCAGCCCCTACCCCCGGGTGACCCTGTCCAGCCCCCCTGCCCAGAATCAAGTGTCCCTGTCCAACCTCCGCTCCACTTCCCCCCATGCCTGTGGGTGCCTGCTCAGTCTGTGCCCCCATGAGCTCACAGCCCCCGAAGTGCCTGTGCCCTGGCCGGCCCTGCAGCGTGGTGTGCAGGGAGTTAACGTGTCCTGCGGGGCGCTGGCCCCTCTGTCCCCCTCCTCGGGCCAGGCTGCCAGCTCTGCTGTGCGCAGGGAGAGCCCAGCTGCCCAGCGCTGCCCTGGCCAGCCCCTCCCCGCCAGGCAGCGGGGTGAATGGGATCCTTCCCCGCCGCCTTTTGTTCCGGGCCTGGCCTCACACGGCTCCCTCTGCATCCATGACAGCACAAACTGAAAGGGCCTTTCATCCCAGCCCCTGCACAGACAAAGCCAGCCGCAAAACCCACCCGACGTCCGGGATCCGAGGCCGCAGATCCCAGCCGCCTGCGCTCAGCTCAACTCCCCCCTGCCCTATGGGGGGGCCACGGAGTGTGCCCTGCCCTGCCCTGCCCTGGGAATAGCCCTGCAGGGGAAGGAGAGCAAAGCGCAAGCACCCACCTGTACTGTGAGAGCCCCCGGCACATCCCGCGGCCTGCGTGGCATTCAGCCTGAGTGCCTGTGGGCCCCGGGGAAGGAGCAAAGGGTTTGAGTGGGGGCTGGCAGGGTGAGGGAGGCAGGGCATGGAGGCGGGGGGGGGGCAGGGGGCGTTGGGTGGATAAACCAGGGGCTGGAGGAGGAGCAGCCACAGAGACTGGGAAGTGGGGGCCATGCACAGAGGGGTCCTGCCCGCTGGCTCCGTCTGGCACTCGGCTCCAAGCCCCTGGGCGGGCGCTCAGAGCAGGGCCGCAGCCGGGCTGCAGAGCCACGGCAAGGGGGACAGAGCTGGTCAGCGGGAGCTCAGGCACCCGCCCGCCGCAAGGGGTGCCCGAGAATATGCTAATTGCCCACAACGTCTCCAGCAGCCGGGCAGACAAAAGCCCCCCAGCTCGCCCCCCACGCAGCGAGGCCCAATGCACCAGCCGCTCCCCCCCAGCGAGGGCGGCGCCAGAGAGGGAGACGGGGGGGGGGCAAATCATAGCGGGGTTTGCAGTGGGGTGTGGCGTGCGCAGCGCGAAAGCCAGTGGGGTTGTGGGGCTCCCATCCCGGAGCAGGGAGGGGCACCGGATCCTGCTCCCAATACTGCCCCTGCTCAGGGCACGGGGCCTGGCACTGGGAGCTCCTGGGTGAAAAGTCTGAGCCCCAGGGCCGGGCTTTGGCAGCTCCGCAGGGGGAGGAGCAGCACCCCGCCCAGGACCTGAGCCCGTGCCAGGGTCCGCGGCTCTCAGGAAGGCTTTGGCTGCAGAGCGCTCCAGGCCCCGGCCCAGCACAGAGCCGGAAAGTGCTTGGCATGACAGCCCTGGGGGAGGGCGCTGTGCCCGTCTGGGGCTGGCAGACTGCCAGAGCCCGGGGGAGAGAGGGGGGCTGAGGGCAGCCAGGGACGGGGGCAGGGTCCAATGGCTCCCCTGTAATCCCGTTAGCCAGCCAGGCCTGCAGCTGGGACATTCCCTCTGCAGGGAGCCGGGAGCGGCCCGGGGGCTGAGCAGGCCAAGGGCGCCCAGCCGGAGCCCGTGGGAGCTGCTGGGCAGGACTCCCCAAGAGCAGCAGAAGGAAGCCGGACGGCTCCTGTGCCCAGCCCACCTCTCGGCGGTGTGAGAGAGACCCCGGATCTGTCCCAGTAGCACGGGCAGTCCCTCCAGGCTCTGTGCCACCGCGGCCCAGGGCACTGTGGGCAGGGAGGAGACACCCCGTGCCCCATCGGTGTGAGCTGGGTCCTAGCCACGCCTCAGCCCCACAAGTGCCGCCAAATCGTCCCCTCCTGCGTCTGGGCCCAGGACTGGGGCTGGGGCGCTGGCGCTGGCTGCACGGGGGCTGGCCGGCCCCGGGGGGACCCTGCACCAATCCTATGGGAAAGCTGCTGCTCCACCCTGGGCTGCTAGTGGGAAGCCCTGCCCCCCTCCCCCTCCGAGGATGGCTGAGAGTCCCCGGAGGGTTTCCCCGGTAACAGGGCCAGTTGTGAATTAGTGAGCAAAGAGTTAACGGGAGCGGGCTTATTGTATTAGTGCGAGTGTGCAGAGGGGTCAGAGGGGGAGGGGAGGTGGCGAGGGGCGAGGGAGGGTCTTCCCTGCGTGCAGAGAGAGGCCACCCTCTGCTCCGGCCCAGCCAGCACCTTGCTACCTGCCCCTGGCAGCAGGCCGGGCATCGGGGCCTGGCCCCAGGATTCCTGCAGGCCCGGCCCTGGGCAGCGCGAGGGTGGAGGATGGGGAAAGTTGGTTTCCCGGCAGCCCGTCCTGGGCAGCGCCTCTCCCCGCCCCGTCCCCATGGCGAGCTCGGTGCCTGCAGCCCGGAGTGACAGCTCCACGCCACCAGCAAGCGTGTGAAGCGAAGAGCGGAGCCGGGCTGGCCTCAGGGGCCCGCTGGGCCCTTCGCAGCAGCCTGCGCCGAGCCAGGCTGAGAAGACCCCGCTTGAGGAACTTGGCCAGCGTGGGACACAGACGCCAGCCAAGTGCCTTTGAAGTGGCACAAAAGGCCCCCCCGGCCCCACCAGGTTTGCGTGAGGCCACTTCGGGCAGCCCAGGCGACGTCGCTGCCTCTGTAACTTCAGCCAAAGTCTCCGCTGGAGTCGGTGCTCTCGCTTCCGCCCTGCGCGGCGGGCCCGGCACTGCCAGCCGCACGCGGACAGGCCGCAGGAGCCCCCGGCGGGCCCACGGATGGCCGGACGCTGCAGAGGGAGCAGCGACTGACTCGCCGGCTGGTTCCTCCCTTCGGGCCGGGCCCAGGCCAGAGGCTGCCCATGTGTCTGTCACACGCTGGCCTGGGTCTGTCTGGAATGAGCCGTTTTACTTTCTCCCTGTACCAGCCTTTGGCCCGCGGCGCTCAGGGCACGTTAC